TCTTTATTAATAATATTTTTAATTTAGCTCATGACCTGCTGAATTGCTTTCATTTCAAAAAGTATCTTTGTTGGATATAAAATTCTAGTTTACCAGGTTTTGTTTTGTTTTTTCCGGAACATTAAAAATGTTTTGTTGTTTTCTGAGTTAGGTTTCTGACAAGAAGCTAGGCCATTCTTATCTTTGGTCTTCTATACGTAATAGGTCTTTATCTGGCTGCTTTTAAGATTTTTAATCTTGCTTAAGGATTAGTATAACTTTTAGGGTTAATGGGATTAGATCTGGAAAATTTTTAGTTTTTTTTTTTTTTTTTTTAGACGGGGTCTCACTCTATTGCCCAGGCTGTAGTGCAGTGGCATGATCTTGGCTCACTATAACCTCTGCCTCCCAGGCTCAAGTGATTCTCCTTCCTCAGCCTCCTCAGTAGCTGGGATTACAGGCACCAGCTACCACGCCTGGCTAATTTTTATATTTTTAGTAGAGACAGGCTTTCACCATGTTGGCTAGGCTGGTCTGGAATTCCTGGCCTCAACTGATCGTCTGCCTTGGCCTCCCAAAGTGTTGGGATTACAGGCGTGAGCCACCATACCCTGCCAGTTTTAAGTCTTTGCTTGTAAATGCTTTTCTGTCCCTCTCTCAATTTTTTTTTTTGCTATGAATCCAGTTACTAATATATTAGAGCACTTGATGCCATCCTACTATCTACTGAAGTGTCATTTCTGGATCTCACTTTTGACTGATTTTTCTCCTATGGGTGACAATTTTTCTGCTTCTTGGCATGGTATAGTACTTTTTGTTGTTTGTTTGTTTGGAGACAGTCTCCCTCTGTCACCAGGCTGGAGTGCAGTGGCACGATCTCTGCTCACTGCAGCTTCCACCTCCCTGGTTCAAGCGATTCTCCTGCCTCAGCCTCCCGAGTAGCTGGGACTACAGGTGCGTGCCACCACGCTCAGCTAATTTTTATATTTTTAGTAGAGATGAGGTTTCACCATGTTGGCCAGGATGGTCTCAATCTCTTGACCTCGTGATCCACCGACCTCAGCCTCCCAATGTGCTGGGATTACAGCCGTGAGCCACTACACCCCAGCTGTTTTTGTTTTTTTAGAGACAGGGTCTCACTCTGTTGCCCAGGCTGGAGTACAGTGGTGAAGTCCTAGCTCACTGCAGCCTTGAACTCCTAGTTTCTTCAAGCTCTCCTCCCACCTCAGCCTTCCAAAGTGCTGGAATTTATAGGCATGGGCCACCATGCCTGACTCTGGCCCGTAATTTTTAACTGGATTCCAAGCATTGTGAATTTTATGTTTTTAATGTCTGGATTTTGTTGTCTTTTTTTAATGGATGTAGGATGTTTTATAGCTGTTCTGTTTTAGCAGTGTAAGGCTTGTTTTTAAGCTTCAGTAGTAGCCTTTTCAGGGAATAGTTTCATCCCACTACTAAGCCATAGCCCTTCTAGGGTCTCTACTATGCCCTGAGTGACCAGGGAGAAATCTCTATTCAGATTTGTCTAAAGTCTCTCAGCCCTGTGTGAGCTCTGGGAACGGTTGAGCTTACGTACAGCTTCTCAGTTGCCTTTTGCATGACTCATGGAGCTTCACCCAGCATGTATGCATCCTTAGTCTTCAGCAAAGATTAAGGGAACCCCAAACAGATTTCCCAATTTTTTTTTTCTGCCTATTTCTCTCCTCGCTGGAATGCTGTCTCACTGTTTTCAGCCACCTCAGTCTCACTGAAGTCTCTAGTCTCTCCTCCACTAGTGAGATTTCCGTGGTGCTGTTTGGGACTCCTCTTCTGCTATAGAATGTGCCTCTGGGCAGAAAGCCAAGGAGACAAGTAGGGCTCACTTAATTTGTTTCCCTCTCTTGGAGAATCACAATTCTGCATTGCTATTGCCCAATGTCTGAAACAGTTTATAGCAACAGGGGAAATCCTATCCCTCTTATTCCATCATGGCTGGAAGTGGAAGTGATAACCGTATTAATATCCAACAAAATTAAAAGGGCAACAAAGGGCATTGTTAAGGAATAATTTGGCTCACTTTATAACACTTCTGTTCACAGTCAAGATACAACAGTTCTAAATTTGTATGCTTCTAATGAAAAATAGTATTAAAATACATAAAGCAAAATTAAACTACAGGGTAAAATGGCTACATTCACTATAGATAAGGAAAACATTAGTGAAGTGAAACATTAATAGAAGAGTTGGACAACATGATGGGCGTGGTGGCTCATGCCTATAATCCCAGCACTTTGGGAGGCTGAGGCAGGGGGATCGCTTGAAGACAGGAGTTAAAGACCAGCCTAGATAACATAGTGAGACCCCATCTCTACAAAAAAAAACTTAAAAAATAGCGGTAGTATGAGCCTGTAGTCGCAGCTACTCAGGCTAAGGCAAGAGAATTATTTTAACCCTGGAAGTTGAGGCTGTGGTGAGCCATGATCGTGCACTGCACTCCAGCCTAGGCAATAGAGTGAGGCCCTATCTCAAAAAATAAATGAATAAATAAAGAACAACATGATGACAACTTAATTTAATGGACATGATATTCAGAAAGCCATGCATCATAATTTAAGAATACAGATCATTTTCAAGCACACATGGGACACTTATGTAAATTGAGTAAATCAAAAGTAATTAGATATTTAGAACTGAATTACAATACAAATATTAATTTGAATGAAATTTATAAGCCTTAGAAAGGTAATATAGAAGTATAGTGTGGTGCCAGCCACAGTGGCTCACGCCTGTCATCCCAGCACTTTGGGAGGCCAAGGTGGGCAAATCATAAGGTTAGGAGTTTGAGACCTGCCTGACCAACATGGTGAAACCCCGTCTCAACTTAACTACAAAAAATTAACTGTGCATGGTGGTGGGCACCTGTAGTCCCAGTTACTAGGGAGGCTGAGGCAGGAGAATGGTGTGAACCCGGGAGGCGGAGCTTGCAGTGAGCCGAGATTGGCCACTGCTCTCCAGCCTGGGAGACAGAGTGAGAATCCATCTCTTAAAAAAAAAAAAAAAAAAAGATTAGCCGGGCGTGGTGGTGCACGCCTGTAATCCCAGCCACTTGGGAGGCTGAGGCAGGAGAATCACGTGAATCCAGGAGGCAGAGGTTGCAGTGAGCCAAGATCGTGCCATTGCACTCCAGCCTGGGTGACAGAGTGACACTCCGTCTCAAATAAAAGTATAGTGTAAACATTAAATACTTAGGTATACAACTTAAATTAGAAAAAATGTAGAAAGGAGATAGAAATCATACAGTAGAGAGGACTCAACAAAGCCAAAACTTAAATCTTTCAAAAGACTAAAATCAAAATAGTCAAGTCGGCCGGGTGCGGTGGCTCATGCCTGTAATCCAACACTTTGGGAGGCCAAGGCGGGCGGATCACAAGGTCAGGAGATCGAGACCACGGTGAAACCCCATCTCTACTAAAAGTACAAAAAATTAGCCGGGTGCGGTGGTAGGTGCTTGTAGTCCCAGCTACTCAGGGGACTGAGGCAGGAGAATGGAGTGAACCTGGGAGGCAGAGCTTGCAGTGAGCCAAGATCGCGCCACGGCACTCCAGCCTGGGAGACAGGGTGAGACTCCGTCTCAATAAAAAAAAAAAAAAAAAAAAAAGGGCACAAATTAGACAATATTAAGGATGAAGAAAGTACACAGCCACAGACAACTGATTTAAAAGAACATGAACAGTCTGGGCACAGTGGCTCACACCTGTAATCCCAGCACTTTGGGAGGCCGAGGCAGGCAGATCACCTGAGGTCAGGAGTTCAAGATCAGCCTGGCCAACATGGTGAAACCCTGTCTCTACTGAAAATACAAAAATTAGCCGATGTCTTGGCAGGCTCCTGTAGTCCCAGCTACTCGGGAGGGTGAGGCAGGAGAATCATTTGAACCTGGGAGACATAGGTTTCAGTGAGCCAAGATCGTGCTATTGCACCCCAGCCTGGGCAACAAAAGTGAAACTGTCTCAAAAAAAGAAAGAAAAATATTTTAAAATACAGAAACAAACATTTTTCACGGAAGGGGAAATGTATGGCTAATAACAACATGAAATCTAACCTCACTAGTAATCTGGGATATGCAAATAATCAGCTCTGTGAAATACTTTATGACACTCAGTAGATTGTCAAAAGTGATGATTCCAAGTATTGGGCAAGATATATGTCAGTGGCAGTACATTGGAAGACAACTTTGGCACTAGCTGGTCAAGTTAACATTTATTTACCTACAATTGAGCCATTCATTCCTTAGAACAGCAGTTCTTGGCTGGGTGTGGTTGCTCACACCTATAGTCCCAGCACTTTGGGAGGCCAAGGCAGGTGAATCACCTGAAGTCAGGAATTTGAGACCATCCTGGCCAACATGGTGAGACCCTGTCTTTACTGAAAATACAAAAATTAATCAGTTGTGGTGGCGTACGCCTGTAATCCCAGCTACTCGGAAGGCTGAGGCAGGAGAATCACTTGAGCCCGGGAGGCAGAGGTTGCAGTGAGCCAATATTGTGCCACTGCACTCCAGCCTGGGTGACAGAGCGAGACCCTGTCTCAAAAAAAAAAAAAAAAAAAAAAAGAACAGCAGTTCTCAAAGTGTGGTCTGCAGATCCTTGGGATTACAGGTGGGAGCCACTGTGCCTGGTGTGTTTCTGTTTTAAAGATTAAATTCTGAAGCAATGAAAGTTAAAGGAGCTTGTCCAAGGTTGCACAGCTAACAAGTAGAAGGGTCAGGAGTTAAATCCAGACAATCTGACTCTAGGGCCCACACTTTTAACTACTAAGCTTATACCAATTGCTGTAATACCACCTGTTTAGCAAGCTTAATTGTAATAAAATGAGACAGGGACTGGGGGGCAGGTAGAGATGTCAGGTGCTTATTGAGAGCTCCTAGATAGCTGTATTCCTCCCAGAGTAGGGGAGGGTGAAGGGTGGGTAGGGACAGACGTCTAGTGAAAAGGAAATGCTGTCCTCTCAAGAGTCTTTGGCAATGTGTATCTTTTCTTCTAGAGACCATGGCGAGCCCAGGGAAAGACAATTATCGAATGAAGAGCTATAAGAACAATGCTCTAAACCCTGAAGAAATGAGACGAAGAAGAGAGGAAGAGGGCATTCAGCTCCGGAAGCAGAAGCGTGAGCAACAAGTGAGTTAACGGGAGTATTCTCAAACATACTATTCTGGGAAACAAGTCCCTGTGGTTGGCCTCCACTGTGCACCCTGACTTTCCCTGTAGAAAAGCAACTTACTAGGCAGGCGTGGTGGCTCATGCCTGTAATCCTAGCACTTTGGGAGGCCAAGGCAGGCGGATCACCTGAGGTCAGGAGTTCGAGACCAGCCTGGCCAATATGGTGAAACTTCATTTTCTCTTCTAAAAATACAGAAATTAGCCGGACATGGTGGCATGCACCTGCAATCTCAGCTATTTGGGAGACTGAAGCAGGAGAATTGCTTGAACCTGGGAGGCGGAGGTTGCAGGAACCAAGATTGTGCCATTGCACTCCAGCCTGGGCAACTCCATCTCAAAAAAAAAAAAAAAAGAAAGAAAAGTAGCTTACTTACTGAGTGAGCTACTCATCCAGATTCCTTTGTTGTCAATAAATGTTGGGAGCTTTGAGAAAGAGAAAACTGACCTTATCCCCTTTTCACAAGTTAGACCAACTTAGACATCATTTATGTCTTTACTATAACATTCTAGTTCTAGCTCCTTGTTACCTTTTCTTTTCTTTTTTTTTTTTTTTCTTTTTTTTTTTTGAGATGGAGTCTCGCTCTGTCGCCCAGGCTGGAGTGCAGTGGCACGATCTCCGCTCACTGCAACCTCTGCCTCCTGGGTTCAAGCAATTCTCCTGCCTTAGCCTCCCGAGTAGCTGGGACTACAGGTGCCTGCCAGCACCTCCAGTTAACTTTTTATATTTTTAGTAGAGACTGGGTTTCACCATGTTGGCCAGCCTGGTCTCAAACTCCCGACCTTGTGATCTGCCCAGATCTGCCCACCTCAGCCTCCCATAGTGCTGGGATTACAGGCGTGAGCCACTGTGCCCAACCCAAGACTATATTGTTACCTCATCATCTGCACTCCCACCCCACCCTCCCAACAGGTTCAGTCACCCAATTGTTGTTATTATTATTATTTTTTTTTTTTGAGATAAGGTCTCACTCTATCACCTAGGCTGGAGTGTAGTAAGTGACGCGATCTCAGCTCACTACAGGCTCCTGAGCTCAAGTGATCCTTCCTTCTCAGCCTCCTGAGTAGCTGGGACTACAGGCATGTACCACCACGCCTGGCTAATTTTTGTGGATTTTTTTTTTTTTTTTTTGTACAGTCAGGGTTTTGCCATGTTGCCCAGGCTGGTCTTGAACTCCTGAACTCAAGTGATCCACCTGCCCTGGCCTTCCAAAGTGCTCGGATTACAGGCATGCGCCACCATTCCTGGCCAACTTAACCTGATTTTGCCCACCCTTTTGCTGTACTATCATTCCTTTTTTCTTTTTTTTTTTTTGTTTTTTTTGTTTTTTGTTTTTTAAATTCTTTTTTTTGAGACGGAGTCTCGCTCTGTCACCCAGGCTGGAGTGCAGTGGCCGGATCTCAGCTCACTGCAAGCTCCGCCTCCCGGGTTCACGCCATTCTCCTGCCTTAGCCTCCCAAGTAGCTGGGACTACAGACGCCCGCCACCTCGCCCGGCTAGTTTTTTGTATTTTTTAGTAGAGACAGGGTTTCACCGTGTTAGCCAGGATGGTCTCGATCTCCTGACCTCGTGATCCGCCCGTCTCGGCCTCCCAAAGTGCTGGGATTACAGGCTTGAGCCACCGCGCCCGGCAGGAAGCATTTTTTTTTTTAAGACAGGATCTTGCCCTGTTGCCCAGGTTGGTGTACAGTGGCGTGATCTTGGCCCACTGCTGCCTCTGCCTCCAAGTCCTTGAATATCTTTTTCATGTCAGTATTCGGTAGTCTCGTCTTCTCTTTGTGGAATACATTCCAGGACCCACAGTGGATGCCTGAAACTGCAGATATTACTGAACCTTACATATACCATGTTTTTTCCCATATTTTTATCTTTTTACTTAAAGCACTTTACAGCTTCTGTCTGGCACATTTGAATTGCCAGCATCACTACTCTTGCACTTTGGGGCCATTATTAAGTAAAATAAGGGTTACTTGAACACGAGCAACTGCCACCTGCTAACCAAGTTGGTTACTAAGTGACTAACTGGCAGCAACATATACAGCGTGGAGTGGATACACTGGACAAAGGATGTTCACATCCTGGGCCAGACAGAACAGGATAGCATGAGATTTCATCACTACTCAGAATGGCATGCAGTTTATAACTTATGAATTATTCATTTCTGGAATTTTCTGTTTAATATTTTCAGACCACAGTTGACTGGATAATTAAAATAATAGAAAGCAAAACTGTGGATAAGGGGAGACTAATGTATAAAACTTGGCCTCATTTCTCAGCTACTGTAGTATATCCTTGTCAGTTAATGCCATAATTTAACATTGGATTGTTCTTTTTTTTTTGGTTCAGAGAGTACTCTTAACCACTGTCTCTTTACTTTCAGCTTTTTAAACGGAGAAATGTGGAGCTGATTAATGAAGAAGCTGCCATGTTCGATAGTCTTCTCATGGACTCTTATGTGAGCTCTACCACTGGGGTAAGGCCCCTGCATGTGCCTCAGGCTGACCTGGAAAGTAACTGCTTCTAAGAACAGAAATTGGGCCATTCACATCATCTACTAGCTTTGTCAGTAACCATGACAAGTTCTTTCCTCTGTGGACCCTTTTGTCAGCTTCAGAAGTCAACAGAGATTCAACTGTGTTAGAAATATCTGAGGAAACATTTAAGGGAAGCCATCAGTTGCCTCAGAATTAGGAATCACTTTTCAAATGTCCCAACTTGAAGCACCTATCGATTAAACAGACCCCTTCTCCTGAGGCTGTCTATTGTGCCATCTTCTTGCCCTCAATTTTTTAGAAAACAGGATGCCAAGCAGAATTATGTGCTCACATCTGACTGTAATGTTGGTTTGCAAAGTTCTAAACTTGTTTTATGTTCTAGGAGAGTGTGATCACAAGAGAGATGGTGGAGATGCTCTTTTCTGATGATTCTGACCTGCAGTTAGCAACCACACAGAAATTCCGGAAACTGCTCTCCAAAGGTACAAAGCCTGGCCCTTCTCAGAGAGGCCCTGTATGATTTAGCCTCTTTTCTCTTCACTAATGTCATCAACTACATGTGCCCTCACTCATTCTGCTCTAGCCCTGCTGACCTTGGTATTCCTTGTACGAGATAGACACTTTCCTACCTTCACACTGGATATTTCCTCTGCCTGATGTCTTCTATTCCCAGATATCTGTGTAGCAACTCCCTTACTCCTATGATTAAATCCTAACTTCAACATTTTTATCTTTCTATCTTGCCCTACATATTCTTCTCTTCTCCTCCCATCATATTTATCTTCTAACATAATAAAATGACTCTTCCCACTAGGATGTAAGCTGAGGGCAGAGAGTTTTGTTTTTTTTCTCTCCTGTGTCCTTTGTACCTAGAACTGTGTGGCACACCATAGGTACTTAATAAAAATTTAATGTATGATAGGAAAAATACCTCTTGTTTCAGTTATCAAATAGTCTTCCCAAGAAGAGAATACTGGTCTTTCTCGAAAGGGAAATGTGTAGACCATGGTTGTTCATCCCTTAGGCACTCTTCTCTCCCACACCTTTTTTGCTTACATTTAGTAAGCCAAAGATGAGCATACTTAAATTAGGATTGGCTTTACTCTTTAACATTCCAACTGTATTATACAGTTCAAAGACGAGCAGATATTGTGTTTTTGTTTTGTTTTGTTTTGTTTTTTTTGAGACGGAGTCTCGCTCTGTCGCCCAGGCTGGAGTGCAGTGGCCGGATCTCAGCTCACTGCAAGCTCCGCCTCCCGGGTTCACGCCATTCTCCTGCCTCAGCCTCCCGAGTAGCTGGGACTACAGGCGTCCGCCACATCGCCCGGCTAGTTTTTTGTATTTTTTAGTAGAGACGGGGTGTCACCGTGTTAGCCAGGATGGTCTCGATCTCCTGACCTCGTGATCCACCCGTCTCGGCCTCCCAAAGTGCTGGGATTACAGGCTTGAGCCACCGCGCCCGGCCGCAGATATTGTTAAAACCACCTTACCAGAAGGGAGTTTCGGAATGTTTGTAAGGGGGGTGGTCAGAAGTATCTAAGAAGGATTGCAAGCTGACCCCCATGAAGAGATCAGCAAAAGCTTCTCCTGCATTTTTATTTTCCCTTCTCCCTTATCCAGAGCCTAGTCCTCCAATAGATGAAGTTATCAACACTCCAAGAGTGGTCGATCGGTTCGTGGAGTTTCTGAAGAGGAATGAGAATTGTACATTACAGGTGAGGCCTGAAGGGAAGGGGTTTGTTTTGTCTTGTTTTGTTTTTTAATTTTGGGGGGATACAGGGTAGGTGTATATATTTATGGGGTACATGAGATGTTTTGACACAGGCCTGTAATTTGAAATAAGCAAATCATGGAGAATGGGGTATCCATTTCCTCAAGCATTTATCCTTGAAGTTACAAACAATCCAATTATGCACTTTAAGTTATTTTAAATTGTGTAGTTATTATTGACTATAGTCACCCTATTGTGTTATCAAATAGTAGGTCTTATTAATTCTTTCTGGGTTTTATTGTACCCATTACTTATCCCCACCCCACCCCCATTCCCCCACTACTGGGAAGGGGTTATTAGGTGAAAGCCCTACTTCCAAGAAATTGTAGTGAGATGTTTCTATTGACATATCTCTCGGGAAGTATACAAGTAATGTTAAGAAACATTCAGGAGAAACCATCAGTTCCCTCACAGCCAAAATATCTTTCTTAAAACAATTTCAAAGGAAAGACACAAGACTATGATAGACTGATCATTCATTTATAAATCAGAGGGTATAGTCCACTACCTGTGTCACCGAGGCAAGTCGTTTAGCCTCTCTGGGTCTCTTGTTTCAGAGATGGGTGATGGGTCAATCCATTGGAACTTGCCAGAACTCAGCTGAAAGGGACTTTGAGAGACACATTTCATTCTAATCCTCATTTCAGAAATGAAGAAAGTGAAGCTCAGGAAATAAAAAAGTGACCTGGCAAAGGATGCATGGGTTCTGTGGTAGTGCAGGACTAAACCTGGGACCCTAGAAGCCCAATGTCTTATTCCCATGTATATCACATCACTGCATCTTCCCACTCTCTAAAGACGGGAGGGGAAAGGCTTGTATTTTGTGTGTGTGTGTGTGTGTGTGTGTGTGTGTGTGTGTGTGTGTGTGTGTGTGTTTTAAATTCGTAGGCAAGAGGCTTGCTTGTGTTTTGTGAGGTTGTTTTTGTTTTTTTAAATTCATGGGCAGGAGGCTTACTGTTCTGGGCCAGCTGATAGGCATGGCTGCTCAGTCTGAAATGACCTTTCAATCATTGCTTAATCTCACTTTCAGTTTGAAGCTGCCTGGGCTCTAACGAATATTGCCTCTGGAACCTCTCAGCAGACCAAAATTGTCATTGAAGCAGGGGCTGTCCCCATTTTTATAGAGCTGCTTAATTCAGACTTTGAGGATGTTCAGGAACAGGTAATGCTTAGATTTGGTATGATTCTTTATAGTACCTGTGGTATAATAAAAAATGTATTTGGTCTTTGTCCTGGTTCTTGGCACAGTGTTAAAACTCTTGGAATTTCCTGAGCGATAGAAGTATCAAGTACAGATGGTCCCTGGGACTTGCAACTGGTATCTCAAGTGGGGGCAGTCTTGTGGAACTAACCTGTGAGGTCTACATTAACTCTAGGTGTTAGTGTCAGAATTGAATTAAATTGTTGGACACACGGTTGGTGTCAGAGAATGGGTGGTTGATGTGGAAAAAACTCTATACATTTGTTGTTGGAAGTGCCATTGGAAAAAAGACACCACAGTACCCATATCTCAGTACCCAGAGATCATGGAGATAAAGGTACAACTTCCATTTCTCCCACTGAATTCTTGCTAGTTGGATAGAATTGGAGAGTGGTAGTGGGCACTCTCCTCCATTACTACATATAGAGTTGGTCCAAGGCAACTACAAGAGTGCAACTTTCGCCAGGCACGGTGGCTCATGCCTGTAATCCCAGCACTTTGAGAGGCCAGGGTGGGCAGATCACGAGGTCAGGAGTTCAAGACCAGCCTGACCAACATGGTGAAACCCCAGCTCTACTAAAAATACAAAAAATTAGCTGGTTGTGGTAGTGCACGCCTATAATCCCAGCTATTCAGGAGGCTGAGGCAGGAGAATCACTTGAACCCGGTAGGTGGAGGTTAGAGTGAGCCATGATCGCACCACTGCACTCCAGCCTGGGTAACGCAGCGAGACTCCATCTCAAAAAAATGCAACTTTCTGATTACTTTCTCCTTTTCTGGGTGATGTTGTTTTGGCTTCTCTGCCTACAGTACAGATGGCAGCCTGTCTCTCCCGGCTGAACCAGGAACTCCCAGGGGATAGGTCCTTGTAGAACAAGTGCTCAATAAGGATTTCAATAGGGAGGTTACCTGAGCTTATATAGTGTATTTGGGGCCTTGACATCATCCTCATCCTGGTGGTTACTCACTTTGCAGTTGTGACTATAAAGTACTCACAGAAGTACCAGGCTTTGTGGGTGACAGTTTCATTATCCCCTTTTCAGGCAGTCTGGGCACTGGGAAACATAGCTGGAGATAGCTCTGTTTGCCGAGATTACGTCTTGAACTGTTCCATCCTTAATCCTTTGTTAACGTGAGTAATTACAATAATCTGTACCTGGGTGTCTATAGGGTGGCCATGTGGCAGGTCATTTGGGGGCAGCATACTTGATTCCTTAAGATGATAGGTAAGTACGAAAACTATAAAAATGCATTCTGATTGCCAAAGTAAAAGATAGGTATCTTTGGAGATTGAGAAGGTTGTGGCCGGGCATGGTGGCTTATGCCTATAATCCCAGCACTTTGGTAGACCAGAGCAGGTGCACCCCTTGAGCCCAGAGTTCAAAACCAGCCTGGGCAATGTGGTGAAACCCCAGCTCTACAAAAAATACAAAAAGTTAGCCAGGTGTGGTGGCACGCACCTGTAGACCCAGCTACTTGGGAGGCTGAGGCAAGGAGGATCACCTGAGCCCAGGGAGATCAAGGCTACAGTGAACTGTGATCATACCATTGTACTTCAGCCTGGGCAACAGAGTGGAAAAAAAAAAAAAAAAAAGATTGTGCCACCCGTCTGCCAAGAAAGATGTTGTTTCTCACTTCATGGCACTGCATAACCTCATCTTAGTCATACCCTCATATCCTCCTCATTGTTGAGCCAGGGGAGAGAGGCAGGACTAGCCCATCTGGAAAAATCCAACCTTCTCTACAAAATGCATTGATTTGCTATGAGGTCATGCATACATACATTGGACGGCTCTGTTGTAAATTGTAGATCAAAGACCCCATAAAGCGTCATTGTATCCCTCTCCCATCCTTCCCTCCATTGCCCTTAGAGTAAACTATGTCTAAACCAAAACAGATGAATGAACTGTTCTTCAGAGACCACAGTCCCATAGCCTACCACTATCACTTTCTTGGACCTTTCACAGAAAATTATTCCATACTGTGTGGCTAAAACTCTCACAGTATACCTATAGCTTTTATTTCTTAGACTTTTAGCTTTTATTTTCAGGGAATACCATTCCTTGTCCTGGACTTGTGGCCAGGGTTATGGGCACGATATATCCTACCTTAGAAGCTTTATAGGCTTACTCGAGATCTAGCCCTCTGTTTTGTCCCTATTATCTATGGTATTAACTAGCTACAGCTGGTCCTGAAATGAATACTCTGTATAGAGGTTGGCCTTCTGACTAATACCAGCTCTATTAACTTAGGTCTATGAGTAGGAAGAAACAGGCTGCTAGAATCTGAGAAGTCTGATTGGATTTGTCTCTGGGTTCATTGGCAACAGCCCTATGCCAAGGCCTTAGTGCTCAGGATCTGGCTTTGCTGTTTCCTTCAGACTCCTTACCAAGTCCACACGACTGACAATGACACGGAATGCGGTCTGGGCCCTGTCAAATCTCTGCCGAGGGAAGAACCCACCCCCAGAGTTTGCAAAGGTGAGAGAGCTACTTACTAGACCCCGAGTGACATCAGGTTCCTTCATATGGAGTTTTTAAGTCTTTGGGATACTCCCTGGAGTCTCAAATCATGGGAAACTGAAAGAAGCAATTGTTAGTGAAGTAGATGATCTTGTGTGCCTGGATAGTAAAGTGAAAAGGTAGATCTAAATGTTTAACGTAGTAGCGATCCCTAGGGTCTGGAATTACTTTGTGTGTGTTGAGAGCGGGGGTGGTTGCAGTGTTAGGGTTCATGATAGAGCTGATATAGTCTTGTCCCCCTATGACTCTTTCTCACTCCGCTTCCCACAGGTCTCTCCTTGTTTGCCTGTACTGTCTCGCCTACTCTTCAGCAGCGACTCAGACTTGCTGGCAGATGCTTGCTGGGCCCTTTCTTATCTGTCTGATGGACCCAATGAGAAGATCCAGGCAGTCATAGACTCCGGAGTCTGCCGGAGATTGGTAGAGCTGCTGATGTGAGTGGTCTTACAAGGGGTACAGGTTCTGGCTAGGCACGGTGGCTCACGCTTATAATCCCAGCACTTTGGGAGGCCAAGGCGGGCGGATCACGAGGTCAGGAGTTCGAGACCAGCCTGACCAACATGGTGAAACCCTGTGTCTACTAAAAATACAAAAATTAGCTAGGTGTGCTGGCAGGCACCTGTAATCCCAGCTACTCGGGAGGCTGAGGCAGGAGAATCGTTTGAACCTGGGAGGCGGAGGTTGCAGTGAGCTGAGATCACTCCATTGCATTCCAGCCTGGGCGACAGGGCAAGACTCCGTCTCAAAAAAAAATAAAAGAAAAAAGAGGATAGGTCTCTTAAGCTTCTGTGGGCTCAGACTAAAGAGATAAGAGTCAGCAGGGCCGAAAATGGTGTGCTGGCCTTCTGCTGATCAGATCTCCCTCCTCTGTAGGCACAATGATTACAAAGTGGCTTCTCCTGCCCTGAGAGCCGTGGGTAACATCGTCACTGGGGATGACATCCAGACCCAGGTAAGAAAGAGGAGGGTGTAGGATCTTAGACCAGCTATGGAAGAGCTTGTGGAGAGCTGCCTGTGGACAAAAGCCTTTCCTGCAAAGGGCTGTGGTCCTGATGGGAGGCACTATGGTCTAAGAAAGAAAGTGTAGGCTTGAGTGAAAAGTTCCAGCTCTGTCACTCTCTAAGCAGTCACGGGAAACTTGGTTCCTTCTTTTCTTCCATAAATTGGGAACAAATCATCATCTAATGGGTAAAGGAAAACTAAATGGAATAATTGGGCTTACCACCTGGGACATTGTGAGATAGTTAAGTTTGAGTCATGGTCCCTTTGAGATACTGAAAGCTATGGAACTCCACCCCTACTTACTAGATCTTTAGGGTCTCATGGATATCATGGACCTTGGATTAATCTTTTGTAAATAGCCCCTCTGGTGAGGGCATAGTAAACAAGGTTCGCCTGCTCAAAGGCTAGAGATTTGGGTATTCTTTGGGTTTTGAGTAGCTGGCATAATTCTCTGGGGTTCTGGACAGGTTTTTTACAGGTGAGTAGTCTCACTCAAACACTCAAACCCACACACTCATTTTCTGGGTTACTTTGTATATGTATATGCATGTACTGTAAAATAAAACATAAATTTTACCATTTTAACCTTTTCATTGGCATAAAGTACATTCACATTTTTTCTCTGTCATCACCACTAGCCAGCTACAGAATTTTTTTATCATCTCAAACTGAAACTCTGTACACATTAAACAATAACTCCCCATTCTCCCTTCCCCTCAGTGCCTAGTAAACACCATTCTATTTTCTGCCTCTGTGAGTTTGAGTGCTCTAAGTACCTCATGTAAGTGGAATCATACAGTGTTTATTCTTTCTCGTCTGGTCTATTTCACTTAGCCTAGTACCTTTAAGATTCATCCATGTCATAGCATGTATCAGAACTCCTTTGTAAGGCTGAATGATATTCCACTGTGTGTATATACCATATTTTATTTATCCATTCATCCATCTGTAGACATTTGGGTTGTTTCCACCTTTTGGCTATTGTGAATAATGCTGCTATGAACATTGGTGTACAAATATTTGTTCAAGTCCCTGTTTTCAGTCCTTTTGGGTATATACCCATAATGGAATTGCTGGATCATGTTCTGATTTTATGCTTAATTTTTTTGAGGGACCACCGTACTGTTTTGCACAGCTGCTATGCCATCTTACATTCTCACCAACAATGCATCATGTTCCAACTTCCCCACAGCCTTGTCAACGGTTATTTTCCGTTTTTCTTTCTTTTTCTTTTTTTTTTTTTTTTTACAATACCCACCCTAAAGGGTGTGAAGTGATATTTCATTGTGGTTTTTATTTGCATTTTTCTAATGATTAGTAATGTTGAGCATCTTTTCATATGCTTATTGGCCATCTGTGTTTTTTTGTTTTTTGTTTTTTGTTGTTTCTTTTTTTTTGGACACATGTCTATTCAAGTCCTTTGCTCATGTTTTAATTGGGTTGTTGAGTTTTCTGGTTGTTCAATTTTGGGAGTTCTTCATATGTTCTGGATATTAATCTCTTATCAGATACATGTTTCGCAAATATTTTCTCTTGTTCTGTGGTTTTATCTTGTAACTCTGGTGTCTTTAAAAAAAAACTTTTTAATTTATTTAATTTTTAAAAATTGAGACAGAGTCTCTCTTTGTCACCCAGGCTAGAGTGCAATGTTGCCATCTCGGCTCACTACAACCTCTGCCTCCTGAGCTCAAAGCAATCCTTCCACCTCAGCCTCCCAAGTAGCTGGTACTACAGGCATGCACCATCACGCCTAGCTAATTTTTTGAATTGGTTTTTTTGGAGAGACAGGGTTTTACCATGTTGCCCAGGCTGGTCTTGAACTACTGGACTTAAGCAATCCTCCCACCTTGGCTTCTCAAAGTGGTGGGATTACAGGCATGAAGCCACCTCGCCCAGACCCACTTTCTTTTCTTTTTAAAATTTTTTTTTAGAGGGTATCACTGTGTTGCCCCGGCTGGCCTTGAACTCTTGTGCTGAGGTGATCCTACTGCCTCAGCCTCCTGAGTAGCTGGGACTGCAAGAGCATACCACTGTGCCCAGCTTACTCCAATGTCTTGATGCACAAAAGTTTTTCATTTTGATTAAGTCCAGTTTACCTGGGCCAGGTGCGGTGGCTCATGCCTGTAATTCCAGCACTTTGGGAGGCTGAGGCGGGAGGATCACTTGAGCCCAGAAGTTTGAGACCAGCCCTACAACATGGGAAGACCCTGTCTCTACAAAAAAAATTTTATTTTATTTTTTTAATTAGCAGGGTGCAGTGGCACCCTGCTACTCAGGAGTCCCCAACTACTCAAGAGGCTGAAGTAGGAGGATTGCTTGAGACTGGGAGGTCAAGGCTGCAGTAAGCTGTGATCATGCCACTGCACTCCAGCCTAGGCAACAGAGCGAGACCCTGTTTCAAGAAAAAAAATTAGGCCAGGCACTGTGACTCACGCCTGTAATCCCAACACTTTGGGAGGCTGAGGCAGGCAGATCACCTAAAGTCAGGAGCTCGAGACCAGCCTGGCCAACTTGATGAAACCCCATCTCTACTAAAAATACAAAAATTAGTCGGGCATGGTGGTGGGTGTCTGTAATCCCAGCATCTCGGGAGGCTAAGGCTGGAGAATCGCTTGAACCTGGGAGGCGGAGGTTGCAGTGAGCCGAGATTGTGCCACTGCACTCCAGCCTGGGCGTCAGAGCAAGACTGTGTCTCAAAAAAAAAAAAGGAAAGAAAAACATTTAAAAAAATTAAAAACAGTTTATCTAATTTTTCTTTTGTTTCCTATGCTTTTGGTGTTCTAGGTCATTCTTAACTGTTCAGCCCTACCTTGCCTTCTCCACTTGTTGAGCAGTCCCAAGGAGTCAATCCGAAAGGAAGCTTGCTGGACTATTTCAAATATTACTGCTGGCAACAGGGCTCAAATACAGGTAAAACAGGCAGAGAAGTCAAGGGGCATGGGAAGTCATAGGAACATGGGAGGTTGCTGGAATATTTGCTTTCAGAAGAAAGAATTTGTTTCCCTTTAAAAATTGGAGTCAATTGGCCAGGCACGTTGGCTCATGCCTGTAGTCCCAGCACTTTGGGAGGCTGAGGCGGACGGATCGTGAGGTCAGGAGTTTGAGACCAGCCTGGCCAACATGGTGAAATCACATCTCTACTAAAAATACAAAAATTAGATGGGTGTGGTGGCGGGCACTGTAATCTCAGCTATTCGGGAGGCTGAGGCAGAAGAATCGCTTGAACCCGGGAGGCAAAAATTGCGGTGAGCTGAGATCTCGCCACTGTACTCTAGCCTGGGCAACAGAGCGAGACTCTATCTCCAAAAAAAAAAAAAAAAAAAAAAAGAGGGGCCAGGTACAGTGGCTCATGCTTGTAATCCCAGCACTTTGGGAGGCCGAGGTGGGCGGATCATGAGGTCAGGAGATCGAGACCATCCTGGCTAACATGGTGAAACCCTGTCTCTGAAAATACAAAAAAAAAAAAAAAAATTAGCCAGGCGTGGTGGCGGGTGCCTGTAGTCCCAGCTAGTCGGGAGGCTGAGGCAGGACAATGGCATGAACCTGGGAGGCGGAGCTTGCAGTGAGCCGAGATCGCGCCACTGGACTCCAGCCTGGGCGACAGAGCGAGACTCTGTCTCAGAAAAAAAAAAAAAAAGAAAGAAATTGGAATCAACGTGTACTATTGGTCAAAGAAGCTGTGTAACCAAAACTGGGTTCTTCTGTAGTAGCCTGTCACCTATATAGGAAGAACAAAAGAAAACTCCCAGAATGGGGAAGATGACTAAGTCTTAGCTGATTTGGGGACTAGATTTATTTATCATCCTGAAATGACTTTTTCTTTCCATCTGCCTCCCCTCAATCCTCTCTCAGGCTGTTATAGATGCAAATATCTTCCCTGTGTTGATCGAAATCCTTCAGAAAGCAGAGTTTCGTACAAGGAAAGAGGCAGCCTGGGCCATCACCAATGCCACATCAGGAGGAACCCCTGAGCAGATCAGGTATTACATTCCTTTCCAATTGTCTTGAATGATATGGATGCTCTCCCTGTTTGCTCCTGGTTTATAGGTGACCTATAAACTGCTCTTGCTCAGACAGGTCTGCCCCCTAGTCTCGATGTAATAGAATTTTACTGGTAAACTGCTACAGTGTCACTAGAATCTGGAATAGATTCCATGTAAGCCATGTGGGAATCTATTGGAGATTCTAGTGACACTGTAGCAATTTACCAGTTTTCCCTTCTGGAGAAGAGAAACATGACATGGGTATCCATCTTTTCTCTACCTTTTCCTATCCAACAGAGAACTGAAATCTATGTAGTTCTCAATTATTTCTACAAATGAAGGGGAACCGTGCTGTGGCTCACTCAAAACAGTTTCTTCAGCCTGGCCAACATAAGAAGACTCTATCTCTACAGAAGATACAAAAATTAGCTGGGCATGGTGGCATGTGCCTGTAGTCCCAGCTGAGATGGGAGGATGGTTTGAGCCTGGAAGGTCAAGGCTGCAGTGAACTGTGATTGTACCACTGCACTCCAGCCTGAGTGACAGAGCCAGAGTGTGTCCAAAAAAAAAAAAACCAACAAGCAAGCTGGTGTGATGTCTCATGTCTGTTATCCCAGCACCTTGGGAAGCTGAAGCAGGAGGATCCTTTAAACCCAGGAGTTCAAGACTAGCCTGGGCAACATAGGGACACCTCATGTATACAAAAATGTAAAAATTAGCAGGTTGTAGTGGTGTGTGCCTATGGCCGCAGCTACACAGTAGGCTGAAGCAGGAGGATCACCTGAGCCCAGGAGGTCACAGCTGTAATAAGCTGTGATGATGCCACTATACTCCAGCGTTTGCCACAGAGCAAGGTCCTCTCTCAAACAAAAAAGCAACTTCTTTGGGAAATTAATTTGGGGTATGAGACTTGAAAGAAGCTAATAGAAAGCTATTTTGTGTATGTGTACTCTTTTTGAGACCACAACCTCTGCCTCCCGGGTTCAAGCGATTCTTCTGCTTTAGCCTCCTGAGTAGCTGGGATTACAGGCGTGTGCCACCACACCCAGCCAATTATTTGTATTTTTAGTAGAAACGGGGTTTCACCATGTTAGCAGACTGGTTTTGAACTCCTGACCTCAGGTGATGCTCCCACTTCGGCTTCCCAAAGTGCTGAGATTACAAGCATGAAGCACCAGGCCTGTGTACTCTTTTATTTTAGTTTCCATTATCTGAACATTAGTGGGAAGTGGTGGGAATAGATAGGTGTCTTGCCCTTCACCTGTTGCCTGTTAAGGGGAGCATAGTCAGTATATGTAAAGCCTTAGGAGAGAAGAGATAGCTGTTGAGTTAAGCTTTGAAGGATAAATATGGGATTATAAAAGGCCTCTTAGGGAAAAGCATAAATAAAGGTACAAGAATCAGAAACCTGGAGACCTTTACAAGTGTGACTAGAATGTATTGTCCTTGGAAGGGAATAATGGGAGGCAGAGCTAGAAAAGAACTGGGAGCCAGATTGCAGGGCATCCAGGCTGGGCTTGGCTTGTGGTATTATGGTATTGTTGTGCCACAGAATTTGGAATTCAGGGAAATAGGGAGCCTGTGAAAAATTTTAAGCAGGGAAGTGATATGTTCAGAGGGGTAATGTTGCAGCTAAGGAGACATTAGAGGCAAGGAGGAGGAATGTTTGGTAGCATCCACATGTGAAATGAACTAGACCAATATCAACAGGAAGGTAGAGAGATAGAGAAAGGATAAGCAGTTATCACGGCTCAGTAAGAGCAGTGGCTCACACCTATAATCCCAGCACTTTGGGAGGCTAAGGTGGGAGGATCACTTGAGACCAGTAATTTGAGACCAGCCTGGGCAACATAATGAGACTTTGTCTCTACAAAAAATAAAAAATAAAATTAGCTGAGAATGATGGCACACACCTGTAGTCACAGCTGTTTGGGAGGCTGAGGCAGGAGGATCACTTGAGCCCACGAGTTTGATGCTGTAGTGCGCTGGGATCGCACCACTGCACCCCAGCCTGGGTGACAGAGCAAGACCGTCTCAAAAAAAAAAAAGACTTAGTTGGGGAAGACTCTCATTCTCTGGTGTGGAATGAGGTGTTGCACAATTCTTAAAAATAAAAAAATAGTAAGAGTGAGTTGGTGAGAGTGCAGAGTACCTGCCCAGCACTTCATTTGTCCTGTACTAGTTTAGAACTTGCCTGGTCTCTGGCCCCTAGGTACCTGGTCTCACTGGGCTGCATCAAACCCCTATGTGACTTGCTGACTGTAATGGATTCGAAGATTGTGCAAGTGGCCCTCAATGGACTGGAGAACATCCTGCGACTTGGAGAGCAAGAGGGCAAGCGCAGTGGCTCAGGGGTCAATCCCTATTGTGGCCTCATAGAGGAAGCCTATGGTATGTGCCCTCTCCTCAATCTAGGTCAGAACCTGAGACTAGGCCTCCAACGTGGTATACATATGTTGGTGGTGGCAGAGTGTGGGTTGGGGAGCATCCATAGCTTCCATGAGACTGACGTCTGTGTCTCCAGAACAGTTAAGAGCTCCTGCCCTAGCCAAGTTTAACCATCACAGGGTTTCAGATGTTACCATGAGTATAACGGGGATGAACTGAGTAGCTGGGGTACAGTTAGGATTTGGACTTGGCTCATCTTTTGAGTTCAGAGTTGTCTCCCACCAGTTTCTTCTCCTTCTAAGGAGCGATAGATAAGTTCTCTTTCTGATAGGTTGCACCTATAAGAGTGCTGGATTGACTCATCACTCATCCCTGAGAGGCTGATGATTTGCCCAGGTCATGTACCTAGTTTAAAGCAGAATCAGGACTAGAATCTCTGTAAATGACATTTTGGTCTCTTTCCTTTGGGATTCTGTAGTTTTGAGAAGAAATCTTAACTCTCCTCTTTCAGGTCCAAGAGTGATCTGATCATATGAACTTGTGTTTGTAAGCACTAACATACCTCATGGAAGGAAAAATAGGTAAATGTTTCACCTGCCCATAGAAAAGCACTCACACTTCCCTCTCCTTCCTTCCTTACTATTGTAGGCTTGGATAAAATTGAGTTTCTCCAGAGCCATGAGAACCAAGAAATCTACCAGAAGGCCTTCGACCTCATTGAGCACTACTTTGGTGTAGAAGACGATGATAGCAGCCTGGCTCCCCAAGTGGATGAAACGCAACAGCAGTTCATCTTCCAGCAGCCTGAGGCCCCCATGGAGGGCTTCCAGCTATAATATCTGCCTCCGGGGAGGGGAGGGGATGGGAAGCACCACCAGCCAGCGGAAGAGCAGCCCCTGGTGGGCGGGAAACCAGTGTCCCCACCATCAGCCACCACACACCTCTGCTGCCCTGGAGACTGTGCTCTTGACCTGCTCCACCCCCTTCCCTGGAGGGAGCACCCTCTGGACAGACAGAACCATCTGAGGCTCACCTTTGGGTTTTGTGACAAGAAGGGGACGTGTTGGGTTTTTCTTCCTTACACTATATTTTGGCTGCACACATGTCTTTAACCCAGGAGCCCAGGGGTAGACAAAGGAGGACTAAGGTAATCAATTTGCACCTTTTTTTATTTTTATCTTTTTTCTTTTTTTCTTCAGTGGTGACTTCCTTCCCTTTATCTTTTTTCATTCTTCCCAGTCCTCTGCCCTGATCTGTGTAACTCTTATCTTGGGTACTTGAGCAGACGGTATATTCCAGAGGTGGGAGGTGGGAGGGGAAGGGAGAAACCCAAAACAAAGTGTTCTTGCTCTGACAGAATATTAATCTTGTACGCTTGGATTGAGTTATTTAATTTTTTCTTTTGCACATTTTTCTTGTATTAAGATTGCTCTTCCCAAGAGCCACGAGTTCCTGGTTTTAATAAACCCAGCTGCCTGCATTGCCTGGGACTAGACTAGGCTGATGGGGAGGCTACCATGAAACAAAGGTCCCTCCTTCCCTCTGACTCTTTGCCCAGACCTCTTTAGTTTGGGAGATCCTCCTCACTCTCCTGGAGTGTCTCAAGTACACCAGTGGGAGTGCAGGGGAGGAGCACAGGCCTTCACATGGGGCTTCCCACGTATAGCTACTGATCCCATATTTCCTACTCACCTTCCAAATGGTGCGACCCAACTTCATTTGTTTACTTGAAAATTCCCACTCGGGGTTTAGAGAACCTCTGAGGTGGCTGTATTTTCTCCTAAGCTTGAGATAGGGGGCTGTGGTCCTTCCTCTCTCCTGAGGAGAAAGTCCCTGCTCTGGTGACCTGTAAGCTGCAGAGGAGGTTGGAGTGAGAGTGTCATGTATTGGGATAGTCAGGGATCCCTGCCTTTGGCCTTTTCTTCTTCTTCCTCTTCCATAGTTGGATCATGTATATTTTACTTCTAAAGGAGAGAATGTCAAAAAGTTCTGTATTTTTTTATATTCTATATATTAGGTAGGTCAATCTTAATTGGTCTCAAGAGGAAGAACTGTCTGTCATTTCTGTAAGTAGGATACTGTGAGGAAGACCAAAAAGAGATGTGGATGCTTCCTCGCTCAGGAGGCCTGAGCTTGGTCCTTTTCCTCTCTGCTTGGATTCTGGACCACCACCTGGGACCAACCTTCAACTCTGGAACCTTCATAAAGCAGGTCAGCGTGGCCTGATTGTCCCAGGACCTGAAGGGAGCAAGGATGGCCTCAGGGCCTAGTGAAGTCTGCTACTCTGTCCTTACTGCTGAACATCCTGCTTGTACCAGGAAACTCAGAAGCAGTTTGCCTTGCCAAATTCAATCTCAGTGGCCATTGTCCACATAACCAATCACCCATGGCTGCCTCTCCTATTATCTATTATCACTGAAACTTAGTAGCCTGCTTTTTTTTTTTTTTCTTAAGAGCTATTGCTTATCTTCCCTGTTTGGGATCCTTGTTCCTGGTTTAGGTTTTCCCTTCCTTGTGACGATTATAATCCAGATGCCTTTTCTTTCTGTTTGAATTACAGTAGTGCATTGCCTCAGTGGCTTGCCTGTGCCTCTGGCTGGATTACAAGTGATAGTAAAGCCCACCTGTTTGAATGGGAGTAGAGGAAGTTGGTGTAGACCAGCTGTGGAGCTGAAGGCACAGTCCGCCCCACCCCAACCTCCCCACTATGGTTAGTCAAGAGGCATCCAGCTCCAAGCTCTGCTTTTCCTTCCTCTGAAACAATGCCATTCTTGCTTCTATTGCTACACATCTCCTGGCTCAGGTGAAATCCACGCCCTTCTGCTTATAGACCTAAAGTTCAGGTACTTATTGCTGGCCATTGGTCTTGAATTTTCCCTCTCCTAGTGCTGCGGTCCCACTTCAAAGCCATTTTCTGAGGAGGATGGTTTAGGGCTGGCAGTTGTCCCTGAAAAATCACACCCATGTTGTACCACCTTGGTGAGTCAGATGCCACTCATCAGCTTGGGAATGATGGCTGCCAACTCCCAATCTCCCAGGAAGGCAGGGGGCAGAATCGTTTTTTCACTTGGCCTGCTACCTCCATTACAAAACCATTCTCTTACAGTTGAAAAAAAAAAAAAGCCCTCCCCCACCCAACCTCCTCCCATTGTTCTCATCCAAAGGGCAATTTAGTAGGATCTACTTTGTACATCTCAAGTAACAGTTAAGTCCCTGATATTGGGACCAGATTCTTAGTGTAAGACATACACATCCTGCTTGCCCAGCTGTTCCTCCAAAATCTGCTTTGGCTTCAGCTCCAGGTCCTGTACCAGATGGAAAATTTTTTTGGTTATCTGGTTGCTGCTTAAAGCCAGTTTTCCCTAAGAGCTCCAAAGGCTAAAGTCTACTGGGGGCAGAGTGTGAGGCTAGATTTCTCATCAGAGAAAAGTGGCCTCTAGGAGTTTTCATTTATGTCTTCTCCAGACCAGGTTTTGCTGTTATCTTCCTTTAATCAACGCTTTCAACCAACAGGTGAAGTTCTTCCAGCCCACAGAGTCAGTAATACCATCTTTTCTATCTCCCCCTTTCTTTTGGCCATGTAATGAAGCAAAATATTATTTATTTAGCCCAGGCTTGAGAGCCACTGTTTGTGGGCAGTCTCCATCTAGATTCCAGACCCTGGCCTAAGCGAGCTAAGGCTCTCTGGTTATTGCCAGGATGGAGCCCCCCTACCCCAGTCTGCTGTAGGGAATACCCTAATTAGTTGAGGCATGCTTTTGGAATCCTGGCATGTTGGCATATGGCTGGTCTATCCTTTTTAAGATCTCTGGTTAGGGGTATCTAGATATGGATTAGGAGGGACAAGGAGCCCTTTTCTTGACTAATATGTTCAAATACTTTTTTGAACAGTGCCAGCCGCTCCAGGCATCCCACTCCCAAATCATCATCTTTAGTACTAACAGGGTCTCTGGTCTTAGAAGCCTGCCTTCAGATGCCAGCTGACCCCAGTGACTGCCTGGCCTTGGTGTTGGCTGCAACCTTCTGATAGAACCACATGGATTCCACCCACTGCTGGCCAGTCTTGTTACATGGGTCAGGGAACACAAATGGCACCCCCAGGGAGCAGGTGTTGACCTCAGTTTTCAGACACCCTTGGTGTTTCTCCTTACCTAGAGCCCATTAATCTACCCCATCAGCTCTCTGCCATGAAAGCCATCTTCCAGGAGCCATGTTTTTTGGAGCCGAGCTGCACAGATTATAGCTGCTATTGTACTTAAATAAGGGAGAGGAAAAGAAGGTTCTCAGGCACAGACTTTCTATTTTTCTCAAGCCAAACCAGTTTAAAATGAAAACTGTCTAGCAGAATGAACTGTATTTCCATTTTTTCATGTCTACCCGCCTTCCCCCCATACCCTAAAGTTGTACTTGTTTCAAGCAAACTAGAAGGAAAGGATAGGAAAGCCTGACACTACTAACCTCACCTCCCATACACCTCTTTGAAGGCCCCAGCTCTTTTGTTCAGGCCTCTCTTCTCCCCTAGACTCACTCAGCTTGGTATCCATCATCTTGAGCATTCTTCAGGGGATTCATCTAGGGTTCAGATTCCAGACTCTCAGCTGAAGACAGGGAGCCAATTTCCCCAGGTCCTTGCAGGTAATCCAGGGACCCAGTAGGGAGAACAGGCTGGCTGGGGCATTAGGAATGTATGTACCTCTCTGCCTCCCTGGCAGCCTGGGGAGCGGTGGAGAGCTCGGTGCACTAAACCATGGTAAACATCTCCCTGATAGAACTACCCTTTAGTGAGTGTGACACTGAGATATTGCTTAGAATAAATTTCTTCCATAGCCATTTAAGATTGCATGTTCTAGACCAACCTTGTCCAGTATGTTTTCTGTTTGAGCTTTTTCATTCTTTTGGTAAGCCAACAAGTTGAGAATTTGGCCCTACTGGGGTCCATGTAGTGGGCACTAGCTGCTCTTTGGCCAAGGCCTTCATAAATGATTCAGTCTCTCATTATCTGTCCTCTAGCCTCATACCCTGATTTAGACTATGGCAAAGGAAGAATTTGAGGTCAAGACCAACCAAATCTGTGAATTCAAGCTGTTATTTTTTTCTCTGCAAGGGCACTTTGCTTCAGGTCTGGGCTACGTGCAGAACCTAAGCTGGCTGTGAGAGTTAGAAGAGGCACCATTACATGTTAGGCCCAGAACACCATGGGAAAAGGTTTATGTAGCATATCTTCAGTGGCCTGCCTAGCTGCTCCTGGGCCAGCCTGACTTCTGATGTCCACATAAGCTCATACCTAAACCCTGCTGCTGAACCCCAGCCCTGTTCTCTTGTAACTATTATATATGCCATGTCCTGGGGGTCATTGAAGGAAGTAAGCTCTCAGAGACCCTACCTCTGACTCAGAGCATGTCCTTAAAGAGTCCACATCTGGCCGGGCGTGATGGCACACGCCTGTAATCCCAGCACTTTGGGAGGCCGAGGTGGGCGGATCACAAGGTCAGGAGTTTGAGACCAGCCTGGCAACATAGTGAAACCTCGTCTCTACTAAAAATACAAAAAATTAGCTGGGCGTGGTGGCAGACGCCTGTAATCCCAGCTACTTGGGAGGCTGAGGCAGGAGAATCACTTGAACCCAGAAGGGGGAGGTTGCAGTGAGCCAAGATTATGCAACTGCACTTCAGCTCGGGTGACAGTGCGAGACTCCGTCTCAAAAAAAAAAAAAAAATCCACATCTTCAGCTGGGCACGGTGGCTCATGCCTGTAATCCTAGCACTTTGGGAGGCCAAGGCAGGAGGATCACTTGAGGTCAGGAGTTCAAAACCAGCCTGGCCAACATAGTGAAACCCCGTCCCCACTTAAAAAAAAAAAAAAAAAAAAAAAAAAGCCGGGTGTGATGGTGGGCACCTGTGATCCCAGCTACGCGGGAGGCTGAGGCAGGAGAGTCTTGAACCCAGGAGGCAGAGGTTGCAGTGAGCCAAGATTGCGTCAGCCTGGGTGACAGGGTGAGACTCTGTCTCAAAAAAAAAAAAAAGTCCACATCTTCATGAACCCTCAGACTCTGAAGCTGGGTGTCGGCTTTTTTAGCCAGCTTTTGTGGGAATTGCCTTTGACCTATTAAAGAAGGGAAGTGGGTAATGGAGTCCCAGCCACTCAAGAGACTGGATATCCCCCAAGAATGGCTTGAGTTACCAGCTATGGACCCTTGGAAGATGAATCTAATCCTTCTCACTGGTTTTTCTTTGCAAATTCGTTTGCTTTTATTTTTCTAATAACTATAAACTCTATTTTCCATGTTCTCAGGGCCCCTGGGTAGACAGACACAGCTTGATTTCAGAGCATACGTAGGCCAAGAAACCATGGCATTGAGTGTGCTGAGTCCAGACAAATGTTATTTATATACACATCCAAATTTGAAGAGAAAATGTATTTCTTTAGGTTTCAAACACTGTAATAGATATAAAGCAAAAATAAAAACCTGTTGCAAAGTTCTAAATTGTCTTCTTTGGTTTGGAGTGACCCTAGACTGGATTTGGGGGAAGAGAATAAGGAGGTGTTTAAACTTGTAGCTTAACAGTGGAAATAAGAGTTGTACCAACCTGTACCTGCTGTAAAGTTTTTTTCATCGGCTTTATTGAAATATAATTGACACAATAAATTGTACATATTTAAAGTATGTACACTTTGATAAATTGAAACACATATGCACCCATAAAACAACCACAAGATAGTGAATATATCTATGATCTTCATAAGCCATAAGCTTCCTGCTTGAGAATCCCTCCTTTCTGCCCCACCTCCAGCAACCACTGATCTGTGGCTGTCACTGTAGTTCAGTTTGCATTTTCTAGAGTTTCTCTAAATGATTTTGACTTACTGTCATCAGCACTACTCTACAGCCCTTTGAACCCTTTTTTTTTTTGAAACGGAGGTTTTTATTCTTGGCATCCAGGCTGGAGTGCAATGGCGTGACCTCGGTTCACTGCAACCTCTGCCTCCCGGGTTCAAGTGATTCTCCTGCCTCAGCCTCCCAAGTAGCTGGGATTACAGGCGCCCACCACCACGCCCAGCTAATTTTTGTATTTTTAGTAGAGACGGTTTCACCACGTTGGCCAGGCTGGTCTTGAACTCCTGATCTCAGGTGATCCGCCTGCCTCCGCCAAAGTGCTGGGATTACAGGCATGAGCCATCGTGCCTGGCCTGAACCTCTTAAGATCAAGTAATTCACAGACTCCTCCCTTCAGTTTAGATCAATTCCTAAAACAGAGATGACAGACAAGCAGCCAGAAAGCTTATTGAACCCACAGGAAGGTTTTGCTTGGCAGAGTGTTTAAGTTTGAATTAGTTGCCAACTTTTTTTTTTTTTTTTTGAGACAGAGTCTCGCTCTGTCGCCCAGGCTGGAGTGCAGTGGCCAGATCTCAGCTCACTGCAAGCTCCGCCGCCCGGGTTCATGCCATTC